CACAAATCGTGTGACTGCTATATATGGTGTCTAGTGTTTGACTACTTACGTATTATATGTTTACGTAAATTATAGATAACCCCAAGTAATAATAGGTTACAGATAAAGCATTTAGTGTAGGACTTAGTAATAGAGAACTACTTAATTAAATGCTTAAAAGGCGTAGATACTGTATGGCTAGAATATATTCTTTAATGTAAAAGAGGTTCTTTTGAGGCTTTGGCTGCGAGCCTTCAACTTAGTACTTAAATAAAAACCTAGCCCCAAAGAGGCTAGTTGTAAAAAAAAAAAAACTAATATTAAACTATACAAAATTATATTTTTGATTCTTATAATTTTAAAAAATTTTTAATTTTAGATATAGTAAAGAGCTAACTAATCAGAATTAGCAATATTTATTAGTGATTTTAGATGATAGTAAAAGAATATCACATATAAGAATCAGGAATAGTTATTTTTTATGTTTTACAGAAAACTACAAAAAATTTCTTCTAATTACAGCCAACTACAAAAATCATCCTTAATTATCACAGAATTATAAAATATTATAAAGGTTGGCCAATAAATTTAGGCTGAGTATTAGGAACTCTCAGAAAGGTAGACACTAAATTAACGCATATAGGCAAATTTTTGGAATTAGCAATAACTTTTAATCTATTGGTTTATTTTAAATGTTTTTATTACCAAAATGATCTTCTATTCTAACAAGCCCAAAATCATCAAATCCAATCACAGATTCTTAAAATTACTATAGAACAAATAAAATTTTAATTAATAAATTTAATTATTTGACCAATAAAATTGCTCAAAACCAATGTTTGTGTAACCCATTTCATTAAAAAACCAATGAAATGGGTTATATAAACATTGGTTTTGAGCAATTTTATTGGTCAAATAATAATTATTATTTTTTTTTTTTGAATATTAATAGTGTCAAATAATTAATTTTATTAGTTAAAATTTTATTTGTTCTATAGTGATTTTAAGAACCTGTGATTGGATTTTGATAATTTTGGGCTTGTTAGAATCACCTCACTGAGATCATTTTGGTAATAAAACCATTTAAAATAGACCAATAGATTAAAAGTTATTACTAATTCCAAAAATTTGCTCATATGGTAAATTATGAGCATGTTTTTCGGGGAGTTACGACAGAAAGAATAAAATCGCACCACAAAATTGCACAGAAATTGGTAAAAAGGCTTCTTATCACATTAAATCACAGAATTTAGTCTTAACCACCACAGAAAATCACTGTCTCTGATAGGGATCGTCTAGATTTTAAGTTGATTAATAATAAATTTGTAAAGTAAAAGTCACTACGTATATACCTTGCTTTACCAGGCTTTAGACGATTCTCGCGTATAGCAAAATTTTGCGTCAATTTTCATGTTACACCTGATCCTGTGTCGTGATTGGGTTGCTATTATTATTTTTGGCCATCTACTGATTTAAACAAAATCGATTAAACTTTGTCCGAAAAAAAAATAAAAATGTTTCGTTTCTTAGCTTCTCGTTCTCGTTATCCACTTCGTATATCAATTAGATCTGGTGATACAAATTACCGCCCTATTCCTTTAAGTGCTATTATGAGCTTAAAACCGCGTTACTATGTTCCTAATCCCTTCGGTGACGGTCACATTCGTGACTCAAAAGGTTCCTTCTCCAAGAAAGAAAAAGCCGTTGAGGATCAATGGATTAGAACCCACGTCTGTTTTAATTCTTTTTCATTTTATTATTATTAAATTTACAACCTTGTTAATTTCTTAATTTTATAATCTAGGATTCCGAGAAAATAAAGAAACTTCGTGAGGAGCTTGCGAAGCAAAAAAAGAAAATTGAAGAACTTGAAGACGATATTGAAGATCTTGAGGAAGATATGAACAAAAAACAAAAAGACTAAAAATTGATAATTTTTTCTAAGAATTTTGTTAGTCACCAAAACTTAGCATCTATTTTAAACGCGATGGAAATATTTTTAATATCTCGAATGAATTTATAATTATTATTTTATTAACACACTAATTATTCATTCACAAAAACCAATTATTGATTGCTGCATATTTGTTATTGTACAAAAAGGTTAAAAATCCAATATAAACATTTCTTACGTTTGAAAGTTTTGGATTTATATTTTTCTATTGCAATAGTAGGTACATTTTTGTAACAGTACACTAAAATGTATATTAGTTACGAGAATAATTAATCAACGATCTCTTCGATCTCTTCCACCACTTCTTCAATCCATTCTTCAATAACCTCTATGGTATCATCGTCCTGTTTTGAAATTGGCACAGCACCAACACTTTCTCTTTCTTCTAACAAATCTTTTTCTTCTTTTTT